GATGCCCACTCTCACCTATTCAACATAGTACTGGAGGACATAGCCAGAGCAACCAGGCAAGAGAAAGAAGTAAAAGGCATCCACATAGGAAAAGAAGAAGTCAAACTATATCTCTTCACTTATTATATAATTCTATACCTACAAAACCCTAAAACCTCATCCAAAGTCTCCTAGAACTGATAAAAAATTTCAGTGAAGTTTCAGGATACAAAATGAATATACAAAAATCAATAACATGTCTGTACACCACTGGCATTCAAGCTGAGAGCCAAATAAGGAATCCAGTCCCAGTTATAATAGCCACAACACAAAATGAAATATACATACAAAATAAAATACCTAAGGATACATGTAGCTAAGGAGATGAAAGGAGAACTACAAAATACTGCTTAAGGAAATCATAGATGACACAAATAGAAAAAATATTCTACGCTCATGGATGGGAATAATTAATAGCATTAAAATGGCCATACTTCCCAAAGGAATCTACAGATTCAACGCTATTCCTCTGAAACTACCAATATAATTTTTTACATAATTAGAAAAAACTATTCTAAAATTCATATGGAACCAAAATAGGGACTGAATAACCAAAGCAATCCTAAAGAAATAAAATGAAGCCAGAGACATCACTTTATCCAGTTTCAAACTATATTACAAAACTGTAGTAACTGAAATAGCATGGTACCAGTACAAAAAGAGACATATAGACCAATGAAATACAATAGAGAATCCAGAAATAAAGCCACACACCTACAACCATCTGATCTTTGACAAAGCTTACATAAATAAGCAATGAGGAAAAGACTATCTATTAAATAAATGTTGCTGGAAAAACTGGCTATCCATAGGTGCAACAATGAACCTGTACCTTTACCTATCACCATATACAAAAAATAATGCAAGGTGGATTAAACATCGTGGCCAAGTGGGACTCATTTCAACTGTAAAATGCTGGCTCAGTATTTGAAAATTGATCATTTTCACATCATTTACCACACCAACAAGCCAAAGAAGAAAAACCATGTGATCATATAGATTGACACAGAAGAAACATTTGAGAATATCTAACACCCACTGATAATAACTGTTCTCAGCAAGTTAAGAATAGAGGAATGTTAACTCTGTAAAGATCATCTACAAAAACCCTTTGGCTGATATGATTAATGGTGAAAGACTGCTTTCCTCTAAGATCAGGAATAAAACAATTAACTCTTACCACTCTTTTTAATCAAAACACTGAAACTTCTAACCATCGCAATAAGGCAAGAAAAAGAAATGAAAGGCATATAGATTGGAAAAGAAGAAAGAAAAGCTATCTATTTATTGACAACATGATTTTGTATGTAGAAAATCCCAAGAAATCTATAAAAATTCTCCCAGCTGAGTTTGGAAAAGTCACAGGATACCAGATTCATTGAATTTTTACATACTAAAAACAATGCAGAAGCCAAAATCTAAAATATAATACCATTTATAGTCACTCAAAATAAAATTAAACACTTTGATAAACACTTAGCAAAACATATACAGGAAGGACATCCTGTGTGACAAATAGTGCCAGAGAAGAAGAAAAAGAAAAGGAGAAGGAGAAAGAGGAAGAGAAAGAGAAGAAGGAGAAGGAGAAGGAAGAAGAAGGAAAAAAGAAGAACAAAGAGGAGGAGGAGGAGGAGGCAGGGGAAGGAAGAGGAAGAAGCTCAACCTAAACCTGATACTTTATATAAAAATTAACTCAAAATGGATCATGGACTTAAATGTAAAATGTAAAGCTATAATACTTTTAGGGAAAAAAAATAGGAAGAAATCTTTGGAACTATGCCTGGGAAGAGTTCTTAGACTTGACACCAAAAGCATAATCATTAAAAGTAAAAATTGATAAATTATACTTCATAAAAATTAAAAAAATTTACTCTGTAAAGCCCATATTAATAGAATGAAAAGACAAGCTGCAGACAGAGAAATAATTATATGCAAACCACATACCTGACAAAGAACTATTATCTAGAATATATAAATAAGGCTCAAAACTCAATATAAGGATAGACATTTCAGTAAAGAAGATACACAGATGTCAAGTAAGCACATGAAAAGTGGTTCAGCACCATTGGCCATCAATGAAATTTAAATTAAACCCCAATGAGGTATCACAATGCATTTATCAGAATGGCTAAAATGAAAAACAGTGAGACTTAAATGCTGGAGAGAATGCAGAGAAACTGGATCACTCATAGATTGCAGATGGGAGTGTAAAATGGTACAGCCACTCTGGAAAATAGTTTTCCAGTTTCTTATAAAACTAAACATACAATTGCCATACAATCCAGCAACTGTGCTTGTGGGCATTTATCTGAGAGAAAAAGATTATGTTTACATAAAAACCTGTACACAAAAGATTATAGCAGCTTTTTTCCTCATAGCCCCAAATTGGAAACAGTCCAGATCTCTTTCCACAGGTAAATAAATGGTTAAACAAACTGTAGTTTTTCCATACCATGGAATTCTAACCAATGATGAAAAAGAAAGCGTTATTGATACATGCAGCAATCCGGATGAATCTCTAGAGAATTATGCTGTTTGGAAAAAACCAATTCCAAAAGGTTCTATACCACATAGTTCCATTTATATAACATTCTTGAGAGGACAGAATTATCAAGATGATAACAAATTAGTGGTTGCTAGGAAGTAAAAGTGATGGGGAACAGGAGGAGAAGCAAGCGGTAGGGATAGGGGCAGCTGTGGTTATAAAAGGTAGCCTGAGGGATCCTTGTGACTGAATTGTTCTGCATCATGACTGTGTCTCATACCACCATGTCCAGCTAGTTTTTAATTTTTTTGTAGAGATGGGGTCTCCATGTGTTGCCCAGGCTGGTCTTGAGCTCTTGGCCTCAAGTGATCCTCCCACTTAGCACCCCAAAGTGCTGGGACTATTGGACTATAGGTGTGAGTCATCATGCCTGGCCTTTTCATATCAGTGATAATAGGATAGGTTAGAGGGCCTTTTTGTTTTGTTTTGTTTTGTTTTTTCCCTCTTCGCAGACATGATCTCTTGAAAAACACAACACTTAAGGTTCTACCATACTTTTGTCTGCTTATAATGGTGGAAGGTCATAGAAGGAAAAGGGAGCTAGATTTGTAGAATTCATTGTGGTATTTGATATATTAACAATAAATTAACATTAAAAAAAAAAACTCCTAACTTTAAAGTATTTCTTTGAAGTATCACTTTGAAGTGATCTTCCTATTGTTGGTTGTCTCCATTGTGGGCAATTGTTGTGGCACCATGAGGTTTCAGAAGGAGCAGAAAAACATTCCTAAAGCATGTTGTATGAGCCTCCTCTATTTTGCAGAAGTTTGTTCAGGGATGGTGCTGGCCACCCTATCTCAGACCTCCTACCATGAATGGTTCTGCAAATATGGTGGCACAGCCCCAGAAAGATTGCTTTGAGAAGTCAGGAATGTCTAGTGAATCAATGGAGTATTATTTTGGGTACTAAAGAGGTTAGATATGTCCAGCACAATGTCTGCACTTAGAACATAACTAATCAACGTTCATTTGCCTTCATCCACCCATTCCTCTAGCTGTCATAGCTCCTTTCACTTTCACACATAGGAAAGGGAGAAATCCACTGTTAAAACCCAAGCAACTTTGAGTGTTTTATGCAAAGAAGGGGTAGACCAATGTTGCTTACATAAATGAGTCCACAAGTGCATGTGAATTTTTTATTGAAAGAATATAATTCTATTTAATCAGAATTTTTAAAATAAATTGGTTTTGTGCAATTTTGGGGGAGGGGTGGGGAGGACAGAGTCTCACTCTGTTGCCCAGGCTGGACTGCAGTGGCGCAACCACTGCTCATTGCAGCCTCGACCTCCTAGGCTAGCTAAATTTTAAATTTTTTGTAGAGGCGGGGTCTTGCCATGTTGCCCAGACTGGTCTAGAATTCCTGGGTTCAAGCAATTCTTCGTCTTTGGCATCCTAAAATGTTGGGATTACAGGTGTGAGCCACCACACCTGGCCTGTAATGTGTAATCTTTATTTAGGTAGTTGACCACTTCAGCATTCTAGGTGCAATAACCTTAGTCCTTTTCCCATTGCAATTGATCCAGCTTTCTATAATAGGACCCTCTGGGACACAAATTCATGCGTCAGTTGCTGGTTTCATTGAGGGGTTTCCTACAGTGGCTGTTAATTCAGACTATGAAACCTTATGGACTCAGGCTTGAATCCTGGATATTACACTTAGAAAATTATTTAACTTTTTCATGCTTCCATATCCTCATATGTAAAGTGGGAGAAATAATAGCCACTTCACTATGCAATTGAGAAGAATTAATGAGCTTCTGTGTATATAAAGTATCCACTACTGTTCCATCCACAGAATAAATGGTCAGGAAGCAAACAGAAGGATCAAAGAGTATCCACAAAACAAAGATCTCCCTGGGTGGCTGAATGTATTGCTTTGACCAAGAGCACCAACAGAGGAAACTCTTTGGCATGGACCTTCTTGAAGTCAGTCACTATATGTACTTGGTTCTCTGAATTCTTCTGGCCTCCCACCTTGACACTTCTGAACCAGAGAACCATTAGTAATTACTGTGTTGCACGCATGCCATATTTTCTTGACATAATGTCTGTTTTCTATGTTTGTTTATAATTATAATGTAGTATAGACTTTCTTTTCTGAAATTTATCATCTTCTAAAAGTTCTAGTTATGTTTCTTTAAATGAGGATCTGTGAGGTTTTCAATGGGAAAAGAAAATTTTCAATTAATATAATTTGTTATATACCATCTCGGTCCAAAAAGAATTTGGGGCAGCTTACAAAGTGAATATAGATACTAAGAAATAGGACATGATAACCAAAGGCAAGTAAAAGACAGATTTTGTCCTACACATACATTAATGTATAGGCAGCACTTATGTATACATTTATTTTTACTTTACAAAAGATAAAATTAACATGTTTTTTTCCATGGTCCAAAATTGTATTTTTAAACAGATACTGTCTTCATTTACTGATAAAGAACTCTTAGCTTATGCAAAAGCTGGAGCAGTAGCTGAAGAGGTCTTGGCAGCAATTAGAACTGTGATTGCATTTGGAGGACAAAAGAAAGAACTTGAAAGGTTTGAGTTTCTTTTTTAAATGGATAGATATGTTAAATTCTGTCTTCTCATATGCCCTTCAGATTGATAGCATTAATTATAAGCATTGTCTCCCATATATATGTTTTCTGAAATAGCTTAATGGATATATTACAGCATAACTAATATTTTGGAGAAGTTGCGATTCTAATTGTACTTTTCTTTTATCTGCTAATTCAAAGAGTTTCTAGATGGGCAATAACATAAAAATAGTTTCCTAAGGCTGAAATGTATTTTCTACTTCTGATTTTTTTTCCTCTATCAAGTTAATTAGTGATTCTCTAAGATTGACTATTTTGTGTAAGATCTGTGGGGACATTTTAATCTGTGGTTCATTTTCTTTTCTGCCTAGGCCCCTACTCAGTTGACATATGCTACATGATTTGGAAGATAAAAATATAACCAAAAAGCATTTATGTGTACAAAAGTTCAAAATCTTTTATATTATATGTTTAGTATTATGCTTGCAACTCTTCCCTTTTATTACATTGCTGAGAGCATAGATGGTAATTTATTGAAATTTATAATATAAATCAGATTACTGATCTCTAAGCAGCAACAGATTTTATTTAAAAGTGAATATAAATTATAATATTCTGATGCTATAACATTTCAATCTTATGAATGTATATATATTTGAAAGTATGAAAAAGTAAACTGTATTGGTTAAGGAAGTTATACATTGTGTGGTACAGCCATAAAGAAAACCAAGGGAATTTTCAGAAATCAGAATAGTGGTTAGCTCTGGGGAAGATGAGAAGTTGTGTGAGGAAAGCCAAACACACAGTAGGGGATTCTGTGGTTCTGGCAGTGTTCTGTTTCTTGATCTCAGGTGTACTAACATGAGTATTCACTGCATAATTTTTTTTAACTGTGCATATGTGTTTGGAGTACTCTTGTTCATATGGTATATTCACACATATAAAGATATGTCCTCTGAGAATAATTTATAATGGTTAAGTGCCATAGTTCAAAGGAAAGTGGTATCTATGTTCCATTTTGATTTTTGCTAAAGTCTTTGCTTTTGATTATAATATGTCTGGCTAATAAAATGAGGAGTCCTGCTTAATGACTGAGCAAATATTCAATGAAATAAAGCCCCGGCTCTCATGGAGCTTAAATTCTAAAGGGAGTGGGTAAGGTTACAAACAACCACAAATAATCAAATAGGTAATACACCAGTTGGGGTAAATATTATTTGGGGAAATAAAATAAGAAATCATGAGGATACTATTTAGATAAGTTATTCAGAAAAATATTTTTTGATTAGCTGCTATTTGAGCAGAGACATAATGAAGTTTCGAGTTTGGAATTTTTTCCAGTTTTCCTCAGAGAAAAGGTGGACCAGAAAAATAATATGCCCAACAGCCCAACAGTGTTGGAAGACAGACAAAACTTAACAGCTTTTTCCTGGTTCTCAGCTGGGGGAAAACATCTCCCCATAGAAGTTAGATTCTCAGGCCTGGCTGCTATCTGCAATTGGGGTCTGAATTTATACTGCTCTGTGGACTAGGAAACAATCTCTCTCCAAAGCTGAGGATTTCACATTAAAAATGAGTCCTAATCCAGTGATACCAGAGTATCTGGTAGAAGAAATACAAAATTATTGTAAATTAAGGAACTAAACATCTAAATCAAGAAATTAGAGAGAGAACAATAAAATATTAGAAGGAAATAATAAGGGTAAGAGCAAAAATTAATTTAATAGAAAATAAAGGCAAAAGAGTAGAAGATTGACAAATCCATAAACTAATTCTTTAAAAAGACTTATAAATAACTATCTTATATGTTTAATCAGGAACAAAAAAAGAATGAATAGGGAAAACTTGTAACAGATTTAAAAATCTATTTTTAAATTATAGCTTTATACCAATAAATTTTAAAACCCTCATGATATAGACAATATGCTAGAAAAATGTAGGTTAAAATCCTCATGTAAGAAGAATAAAATCTGAGTAAACCCATAATCATTAAAAGAATTGAATTCAAAGTTAAAAATCTCCATTTTCCACTACTTCTCTCCCGCAAGTAGAAATCACAAGTCTGGATAATTTTGTAGGAAAGTTCTACTACAACTTCAAGAAAGAGATAACCCTATCTTACATAAATTGTTGTAGAAAATGGAAAAAAAGTTGTGAGTTCATTTTATGGGGCTAGTGTAACTTTGATACTACAACCAGGCAGGTATAATATGAGAAAGGAAAACTAAAGGATAGTTTCACCTAAAACATAGATGCAGAAATTATAAATAAATAAATTACTAGCTAAATAAATCCATGTGAAAAATACCAAATTGAAAACATCCTGAACATGCTGGCTTTGTCCTACGATTGCAAAGATGGCTTTAACTTTAGGAAATCTGTTAATATAATTAACCATATTAATAGATTAAAAGAAAAAAATTTGTTTTGATATAAGGGGAAAAGCATTAATTGTATATGATTCATGACAAAAACTCATAAAACTAGGAATAAGAAACAACCTTCTTAATTATTAGAGACCCACAGGAAACATTTAGTGATGAAACATTAAAAACATTCTAACACTTAAAATAATGAATGAAATAAATACTTACAATTTTGTCTGTCAATTAAAAAAATTTAAAAAAAATAATGAATGAGGCAAGTGTGTTTGATAGTATCATTTCTATGTACTGTTGTACTAGTAGTAGATAATAAGACCAATAGAACAAATAAGAGTAAGAATGAAAAAAAGAAAACAAAAAAAGAAAAGCAATAAGGGTTGGAAAACAGGAAGAAAACTGGCATTATTCACAGATGATAAGATTGTCTACACAGAAATTCCAGTAGGTTTTATAAGCTAACAAAATACAATAAGATCTTTGGGTACCTATGATTATTCAGAATAAATGGCATTCCTGTAAATCAGGAATGCACAATTAGAAAATATACAGTATTTCATCCATTCAGAATGAATCCATCATCTTTGACATTGAAATAAACCTACCAGTCAGTGCCATCTTACATTTGCTATGGATCTGGGTTGAAGTCCAGTTCTTTCAGGCAGGATTTGTGTTTGTTTCTGTGATTCACCAAGGGCACTACTAACCTGAGACCACCTTACATTAAATTCTGTGTCTAGCTGTTTTTGGACCACACTGGTAGTGTGAATTCATACTCAGACCTGACTGACATAAGATTACAAACTGATGGCCTGATGTCCTTGCCAGGTTGGCCATTTCTTAAAAGTTTATTTATTAGACAAATTGATTCAGCACCTATAACATGCCAGGCACTGTGCTAGGTTCTAGGTTTTCCTTTTCTTTTCTTTTTTATTCTATAAAAGTCTAAACAAAGCTAGGGCTCTAGATTTTCAGTTGTGAATCAGAAACAGAGGATATTGTGTGATCTTCAGTCAAAATAGTAAGATGGATAAAAATGGAAGGAATAGAGAAAGGAGGAATAAATATAAGGAATTGTCAAAGAAAAAATTAAAAATATTGATTTAAAAATGTGATCTGAAAGAATCAAAGTGAGTAATGATGATGATGGGGAGGGCAAGTTAACTTTAAATACGGTGGTTGGGGCAGGTGTCTCTGAGGAAGTTTCATCTCAGCTGGGACCTGAGGGATGAGAAGAAGCATGCCATGATGGGGAGAGAGATGGGACGGGTTGGGAGAAGAGTCTTCCAAATTTCTTGGGGTGGCCAAGACTTTAGTATATTCTAGGAAACATCATAAGGCTTGCATGACTGAAGCTCAGTTGAGTGAGGGGAGATTGGGGTGGGCAGGGGCCAGAATGTGGGGATGGTGGGCCATAATGAAGAGTTAGGATTGTATTCCAAGGGCACAAGGGAGTGGTTGAGGGTGTTAAATAGAGGAATGACTATCCACATTATGTTTTCAGATTGTTTCTTTGCCTGTAATGGCTCTCATGAATGGATGTGAGAAGTCAAAGAGTAGAAGCAGGGAGACCAGTGGAGAGGCTGGCAGAGTGGTCCAGGCCAGAGCATCTCCCTGATCTGGATCAGAGGCAGGAGAGGGGTGACAGGTACCTAGATTTGGGATAGAATTTGGAAGCAGAATTGATGTCTCTTCTTAGACCAAACATAATCAGTTTTCATTCCTGTTCTCCTTCCCTTCTCTGCTTCTACATAAAGTAATCGAGGTGCTAATCTGGCTTTCTCTTCAAATTATCAGTGCAGGAGGGAAGCTGGCTCTCTTTGAATGGAAATTTAACCAGAAGTTAAAATAAATTCCATTCAATTGTATAGAATACTTTTGTTCTTTTTCATTTAAAAACATTTTTCTCTCTTTTATGTGTCTTGAAAATATATTTATCTATTAGTATTCATTTCTGTTTGCTTAATCAAAATTTTTCCTTACTCTCAAAGTAGTTACTTGCATTATTGATAAATATTTTTATAATATTTAAGATGAGTCATATTTCCTACATACCAATGGTTTTGTTACATAACTTTAGTCTCTTTTAGTCACTCCTACTTTCATGATCATTTCTGTACTAAAGCTTTTGATGAATGGATTATTTTAATATCTGGTTTTATATATGGCATATGTATTGAAAAACAACAAAGAGCTTATGGAAAAGGAGTATTGTTTATGTCTCGTTTCCCTTTATCCCCTTCTTTCCTTTATTTCTCCTTTCTGATGTGTAAATGATTTTCCTCCTTGTGCTTCTGTGCAAATGTTTCCTCTGGCTGCATAGGACAACGTCAGACCAGTTTCTACGTTAGTCTCGGTAAGCGAGAACTGAAATAAAGGAGATAACAGTGTAGTACATATGTATTAAATTTCCTTAAATGTACTCTTATGTGAGTTGTGCCCAGTGGTAGCATTCACCTCAGATCAACTCATAAAGTGAGAGATATGTATATGTCTGTGTGTTATGTGTGTATGCATGTGTGTATACAAATCATTGAAATGTTTCTCAAAAATAATTTTTCTGTTCAGATGATAACTGGCAAGTTGAGGATTTACATTTTGGGGGGTAGAAACTGATGATGTGTTGATATGTTGTCACTATGAAGTTCTGTTTAAATTTCATCTTTAGTGAACACAGTAGTGATGTAAATTTCACTTGGCATGCTTTTGTAACTCTGTAATGTACCTAGTTAAAGTAGTCATGAAAGCAAAAAACAATGCATGTTCGTATCTGAACAGTGCTTGAACTCTGCTGTACATACTAATGGAACAAGTTCTCTAAATGAAATTAATATAATACTATATAATATTTATATAGTTGTGAATTTTATGGATCAAAGACCTTAAAGTATGACTTTTATATGGAAGTAAGTTCATTAATTTCAACAATTATTAGCTCCTCCTCTATCCAAGTTAATGCTCTAGGTTCTGCAGGGAGTTGTGATTAAGAAAATACAGACAGATTTAAGGCAATCTGTCCTGTTTCACTAATCCTTTTACCTTCGTTCTATATTTGCAAAATTTATTATTTTCCTTTAACTCTGGGGTCCATTAGCTTATCTCCACAGCTGTCTTCTTAAACAGAGTAGTCTTCTCTGTTCCTTTCAAATGAAGGTCGAGTTACAGACATCATCTCCTTTAGCTTTAACGTCAAAAATTGACCACTCTCTGAGGCTTTAAAAAATATTTGAATTATCAGTTGGGAATAACCTTTAGGTCATTAGAACTGGAGAAATAAAATCTATCAGTGATTCCAACATTGTTTTTCGATGTTTTCCATTTGCTCGTTTTTGCTCCTTTTGTATAATTTCCTATATTTGCTCTAAGAAGTATTAATGGGTGCTCTCCAGGTTTGGTTAATGTAGGGTAGGCCTTTTGCTATGAATGGGTTCAGGGCTATAGATATGCTAAGAATTTAATTTTTCTCAGTCATTGAGTTAGCCAGAAGCCCTGGATGGCCCAAGCCACCAGGTCAGAGCCTGTTAGTTCAGCAGCAGGCAGCTATGGCATGACACGTGTTGCGAGCATTAACAGAGGGAAGGACAAGTAGTCAATATGTAGAAAGGAGAAGGAAGAGAGGGAATGCTGATGAATAATTATGTACTTTTATATACCTGTAAGCCAAATAATTTTTGTAGGTCAGTGATTTTTGAAATAAATGTCTACAGAAATAAGATAAATCGTACAGCTTTTTTAAATGTAAAAAGTATTACATGGCAATTCAGAATTCTCAAAATGCTCTCACACATGTAACCTCTCAGTTGGTCATTCCAACAGTCCTAGAGGAAGGCAGGACAGAGAGCAAACTGTCTCCAAACTTCCTTAATGTTCAGAGATTTAAATGACCGTCCCTTTTTTTTTTTTAAAGCACTTTCTAACATTATCTCTCCGTTTTATTACTTAATTAAAGAGGCATGCAGATTTTGAAGGGAAGACACAGGTTTTTCCATGGCTTCTACTTTGTTTTGTGTATGAAACAATGTAAGTTCTAGAAGTTTGCTAAATATTGCTTCACTTATTTTGCTATTGCTAAAACTAGAGTAGGAAATTTTAGAAGACTCCCCTACAAATAAGTTAATCTCTGTAAATTTCAGTTTCTTCTTCTGCAAAAAGGGAGTAAAACAGTACTACTATATAGGGTCAATGTATGAGCAGCAGGACAAAATGCATGTATATCACCAGGACTGAGCACATCCTAGCCACTCTGTAACTATCGTGCTATATTGATATGTTTTCATAAAATGTGTGAGTATATGTGATCATTTTTGGTTTTTTCCCAGGTACAACAAAAATTTAGAAGAAGCTAAAAGAATTGGGATAAAGAAAGCTATTACAGCCAATATTTCTATAGGTGCTGCTTTCCTGCTTATCTATGCATCTTATGCTCTGGCCTTCTGGTATGGGACCACCTTGGTCCTCTCAAACGAATATTCTATTGGACAAGTACTCACTGTAAGTGGTTTATATTGAGAAATGAGCCATTATTATAAAATGCCAATGAAATCCAGTAATGTTGGCTTGACTTTAGAAGAACATATTTGAACAACTATTGAATACTATAGACACATGCACTACTAGGTTAAAAAGTGGAAAAAAATTGGATGCATCCGACAACCAGTTTTTCGCTTGTCTGTTTGTTTTTGCAGATATATTGCACAATTTATACTGTAGCCTAAATAATATTAACCTTAGCAATCTCAATAGCATGAACTTTTATTTGTTGAGATTATTTGTGCCAAACTTGATGCTAAACACTTCACTTTTATTTTCTGATTTACTATTCCCAAAAATGGCAAAATACACATTTTGACTTCTTTTCAAATTATTTCGAATGGCAGCTAATCCACCTCACAAATTATGGAAGTTGTTCCTCTTCCTAAAAGATTGCTTGGAAGTTTTCTGCATTATAGACCTTTGTGCAAGCACAGAAGTCTTGCCATTTCATGTTATCCTCTTTTATTTTAAAGACAATGAAATAATTTGCAAATCAAACTCAATTCGTATCTGGATCTAATAAAATACACTGTTAGAAGAGTCATTTAGTTCCTTTTTCGTAGGCCAAGCAGAAATAGATTGAGACAGTGAGAGATGATATTTTGTAGAATCCCTTAAAACAATTCCCTTTTTCAGGAGCCAGATTTGTAATGTGGATGCAATAATTGCTGCTTTAGTTTTTTCAAATTTGCCTTATCCAACTTTGCTCAGTCAGGAATGGCTTTTCCCATAAAGTGGTTTTTTTTTTTTTTTTTTTTTTTTTTTTTTTTTTTAGTATAGTGATACTGTGGGTGATCCTTGGTTGTCATAACAGATGTTTTCCATTTAACTGTGATTGAGATAAGCAGTTTCAATCCAGTGTTCTCTGGGCATAAATATACCTCACAAACTGGAGGCATCCAGAATAGGGAGTGTGGGGTTTAATATCGGACCAACTTGATTCGAATGGCAGTTGTGTCACTTTTTAGCTGTATGATTTAGGGCAGCCAGCTAAACTTTTCAAGCCTCTGCTACCTCTTCTGCCAAATGACATGACAGGAATGAGCCCTAACTTTCAGTGTTGTTTTGAGGACTAATTGAGATAATGAATATAGAATCACTTAGCAAAGTTCCTTCTGTGTAAATTATTGAGCAATATAATTCCATGTGATTTAGAAAAAATGAATAATGACATTAATTTTCATCAACCCCAAAGAGAAACACAGTTGAGTCTTTACCAATAAGAAACTGATTTGCACAAAACAAACAAACAAAAAGACCTAAAGAGAACACGGCCTTGTTGCAAAAAAGACAACCTGATAAAGGATCAATGCCTTAGGTGTGTGTGCTTTATAATGAACAAAAAACGTTCATATACCCTGTTTTATCATGATACAACATCTCTATGATTGCTGGGTAGGGGGAACAGATAGAATCTTGCCTGTTTTTGCAAATGAAGAAGTTGAAGCCAAAGATTCTAAGAGAATGGCCTAACAACATGTAACTAGTTAGTACCAATTTAGGATTCAGAACTGGGTCTTTTGACTCCTCTAATAGTGTTTATTTCCACTTTACCTTGCTGATGATCTAAATAAAAAAAGTCTTAGACCTTGAAGAAATAAAAAAAATATCCTATTATAATATTCTAGCCCTATAAAATTAAATCGTTATTTTATTGAGCAAGTAAGACTAATTCTGCATTCTAAATTGAAAAGTATTTAAACTTCTAAAATATTTTTAGTGTGGGCAACATAGTGAGATCTCATCTCTATAATTTTTTTTTTAATTAGCCAGATATGGTAGCACTTGTCTATAGTCCCAGCTACTTCGGAGACTGAGATGGGAGGGTTGTCTGAACCCAAGAGGTTGAAGTTGCAGTGAACCAAGATTGCACCACTGCACTCCAGGCTGGGCAACAAAGCAAGACCTTGTCTTAAAATTTTTTTAAAAAAAATTTTTTTGCTATTTTTTAATTGACAAATCATAATTGCATTACACTTGTGGAGTACAATTTGATGTTTATATATACACACACATACACACAAAATGTGGAGTGATCAGATCAAGCTAATTAACATATCTATCACCTCACTTGACACTTTTTGAGGTGACACATTTGAAATTTACTCTTGGCTGGGTGTAGTGGCCCATGCCCGTAATCCCAGCACTTTTGGAGGCTGAGACAGGAGGATTGCTTGAGGCCAGGAGACCAGCCTGGGACACATAGTGAGACCCTGTCTCTAGAAAAAATAAAAAAAATTTGTCGGATTTGATGATGCATGCTTGTAGTCCTAGCTACATGGGAGACTGAGTCAGGAGGATTGCTTGAGCCCAGGAGGTAGAGGTTATAATGAGCTCTGATTGCACCACTGCACTCCATTCTGGGTGACACAGTGAGACCCTGTCTCTTAAAAAAGAAAAAAAATGAAAAAAAGGAATTAAATGTACTGTTAGTTTCAAACTATTAAAATATTTTTAACACCTAATATTTATATGTTGCCTCGCCATTTTAAATTTTAGTTACCTATGTTAGAAAAAGACAGAAGTATGAAAAAAAAATTGCTATCACTATCTAAGTAGCCTGATGTTTTTTCTTCACATTCCTCAGGTATTCTTTTCTGTATTAATTGGGGCTTTTAGTGTTGGACAGGCATCTCCAAGCATTGAAGCATTTGCAAATGCAAGAGGAGCAGCTTATGAAATCTTCAAGATAATTGATAATGTAAGTCTGAGTTGGCCATTTATCCATCTGTCTAAAAGATTGTCCAGTTAAGAGTCAATTTCTTTGTCACTTTATCCAGCTTTCCACAAAATGTCACTAAAAGTAGTTATTGTAACCTAGTAATCTCTTAAAATTTGATTCTGTTTAGAAGCCAAGTATTGACAGCTATTCGAAGAGTGGGCACAAACCAGATAATATTAAGGGAAATTTGGAATTCAGAAATGTTCACTTCAGTTACCCATCTCGAAAAGAAGTTAAGGTACAGTGATAAATGATTATTCAACAATTAAACTATTGAATGAAAAGTTTCTGATGTTTTCTTGTAGAGATTATTTTTTTTTAAAAGTGCATGTATATTTAAACCTATTATTGAACGGTCAGTTCCCATACCCTGTGTCTGTGAATTGCCTTAAAGTTTTTTTTTTTCACTCGTCCTGGTAGATCTTGAAGGGCCTGAACCTGAAGGTGCAGAGTGGGCAGACGGTGGCCCTGGTTGGAAACAGCGGCTGTGGGAAGAGCACAACGGTCCAACTGATGCAGAGGCTTTATGACCCCACAGAGGGCATGGTGAGATGACCCATGCTGAGCTAGACCCTGCGGTGATCAGCCATCACATTGCACATCTTTCTGATGTTACCCTTTCAACTACAAATGTATGAAAGTCACACTTACTTTTTATTCCAGGTCAGTGTTGATGGACAGGATATTAGGACCATAAATGTAAGGTTTCTACGGGAAATCATTGGTGTGGTGAGTCAGGAACCTGTATTGTTTGCCACCACGATAGCTGAAAACATTCGCTATGGTCGTGAAGATGTCACCATGGATGAGATTGAGAAAGCTGTCAAGGAAGCCAATGCCTATGACTTTATCATGAAACTGCCTCATGTAAGTTGTCCTTGCCCTTTGCCTTTCTAGAGGTGCAAAAAATAAAATGCAGGCCTACTACATAGGAAGTTAGGAAACTACTATAAATCGGAGGAAGAGAAATCCTAAGAAGGGAAAATAAGATTACCTCAGATTTGAAAGTTCTAGCAGTATCAACTGGTCGTAGACACATTTTTAAAAACTGATGTTGGTTATTGTGCTAAATAAGATTTAAAGAACTGGACCTGTATTACCTGTGAGACTTGGGTTGTGTATGGGATTCCTTATTTAAAATATGAGCTGAGATAGCTTGTCCTTATGCTAAATCATCCTGGGTTTTCTGTGGTAGAAATTTGACACCTTGGTTGGAGAGAGAGGGGCCCAGCTGAGTGGTGGGCAGAAGCAGAGGATCGCCATTGCACGTGCCCTGGTTCGCAACCCCAAGATCCTCCTGCTGGATGAGGCCACGTCAGCCTTGGACACAGAAAGTGAAGCAGTGGTTCAGGTGGCTCTGGATAAGGTCAGTGAGGCTTAGTTCAAACCAACCTGATTTATAAGCATAAGAATATTCTACTATTAATTCTTGTTAATATTGGTCTTAGAAAATGAAATTTATGATAGCTTCTAGGTGATTCCTTCAGCTATTAAAATAAAAGCATTAGGCCTCTTCGAAATCTTTTTCTATTTGTTTGTTTTATTGTTCAATTTATACTTATTTCTCTGATCTTATTTTAAGTGATGATGAATAAATTTTCATCTTTTCATCTAAAGACATTTGCTAATCTTTTAAATTAAAAAATAGAAATATAGATACCAGTGAAAATTCATCTTCATTGTGATCTCCAAAACTTGACTATGTGGATAACCCTGTTATTTAGGTTTTGAGAGTTTGTAATATTGCCAGGAAGAGAAAAATACAACCTGAAGGTTCACACATAATTTTCAAGATGTTGAATGCCACTTGAAGACTCTATGGAAAATAAGAAACCTCTTATTTCCAGGAGAGGGGCAGAGAGCCTTTGATACTGAAAACCTACCTAAACCACGACATGTTACTGACTATCAACAGAGTTTGACTGTCCTGCGATTCTGGAGTCCATATGACTCATTCATCAAATAGCATTTGAGTGTTTGCCCTGTGCCAGGCACTGTGCGTTTGATCTCCAGCATGTGATAGTAATGGAGATAATTCTGTGAGGACCGAGAATGTGGAGAGTGAGACCTTATAACCAAAGGAGTTCCAAGTTGAGATGTCACAGTAGATTTCAAAGATGAACTCATATTTGTTTCAACTCTCCCTGTCTCTAATAAAACAACTCTTGAATGTTCCTTTAAACATCCTGTCAATGTGCTTAATAAATTTTTGAGGGAGGAAAAAAAGCAGCTTACTAAACATTCTGTGGACCAAAATAGAGGCAGATGGGATTGTGGCTACTTTTTCCCCCCTCATTTTGCTTAATCTGTGATTTCACCTCTGTGTTTTTCTTTTTCCTTCCTTCCTTCCTTCCTTCCTTCCTTCCTTCCTTCCTTCCTTC